TATGGGGTAGTTAGGTGCATTATATGGAGTAGTTGGTGAGGTGCATTAAATGGGGTAGTTGGTAAGGTGCATTATATGGAGTAGTTGGTAAGTTGCAATATATGAGATAGTTGGTAAGTTGCATTATATGAGGTAGTTGGTAAGGTGCATTATATGGGGTAGTTAGGTGCATTATATGGGGTAGTTAGGAAGGTGCATTATATAAAGGGCAGTTGGTAAGTTGCATTAAATGGGGCAGTTGGTAAGTTGCATTAAATGGGGTAGTTGGTAAGGTGCATTATATGGGGTAGTTAGGTGAATTATATGGGGTAGTTGGAAAGTTGCATTAAATGGGGTAGTTGGTAAGGTGCATTATATGGGGTAGTTGGTAAGTTGCATTATATAGGGTAGTTAGGTGCATTAAATGGGGTACTTGGTAACGTGCATTATATGGGGTAGTTGGTAAGGTGCATTATATAAAGGGTAGTTGTTAAGTTGCATTATATGAGGTAGTTGGTAGGTTGCATTATATGGGGTAGTTAGGTGCATTAAATGGGGTAGTTAGGTGCATTAAATGGGGTACTTGGTAATGTGCATTATATAAAGGGTAGTTGGTAAGTTGCATTATATGAGGTAGTTGGTAGGTTCCATTATATGGAGTAGTTAAGTTGCATTATATGGGGTAGTTGGTAGGTTCCATTATATGGGGTAGTTAAGTTGCATTATATGGGGTAGTTGGTAAGGTGCATTATATGGGGTAGTTGGTAAGTTGCATTATATAGGGTAGTTAGGTGCATTAAATGGGGTACTTGGTAACGTGCATTATATGGGGTAGTTGGTAAGGTGCATTATATAAAGGGTAGTTGTTAAGTTGCATTATATGAGGTAGTTGGTAGGTTGCATTATATGGGGTAGTTAGGTGCATTAAATGGGGTACTTGGTAATGTGCATTATATAAAGGGTAGTTGGTAAGTTGCATTATATGAGGTAGTTGGTAGGTTCCATTATATGGAGTAGTTAAGTTGCATTATATGGGGTAGTTGGTAGGTTCCATTATATGGGGTAGTTAAGTTGCATTATATGGGGTAGTTGGTAAGGTGCATTATATGGGGTAGTTGGTAAGTTGCATTATATCAAGGGTAATTGGTAAGTTGCATTATATGGGACAGTTGGTAAGGTGCATTATATGGAGTAGTTGGTAAGTTGCATTGTATGGAGTAGTTGGTAAGGTGCATTATATGGGGTAGTTAGGTGCATTATATGGAGTAGTTGGTAAGGTGCATTATATGGGGTAGTTGGTAAGGTGCATTACATGGGGTAGTTAGGTGCATTAAACGGGGTACTTGGTAATGTGCATTATATGGGGTAATTGGTAAGGTGCATTATATAAAGGGTAGTAGTTAAGTTGCATTATATGAGGTAGTTGGTAGGTTGCATTATTTTAAGGGTAGTTGGTAAGTTGCATTATATGAGGTAGTTTTTAGTTTGCATTATATAAAGGGTAGTTGGTAGGTTGCATTATATGGGATAGTTGGTGAGTTGCATTATATGAGGTAGTTAAGGTGCATTATATGGGGTAATAAGTATTACATCGAGTAGGCTATATATTCTACATGGACGGAAAAATTTGTCAAATCATAATTTAATATCCCCTCTATTATCATAGAAAATAGCAAAATAATGCATCCACATCCCTGGCACACAAAGAGTTTAAAAAAACGCAGATTTTAACAAAACAAGAAATAGTTTCTCATGTATTTCTAAGTTAAGAACAAGATATATAAACTGCATGAAGTAACCAAATACATTACAATGGGGCACACGGAACGCGCCCACTGGGGCACCCGCAGGCCGTCTCTTTAAATACTCTAAAACAATCAGACTGTAAAATACTTTGTCAGATGATAAAACGGGGAGCAGAGTGCTGGTATAATCTCTCTCCACAATTCCTGGTTTAGTGAGTAAATCCCTGCTGTATGTCTGTGCAGGAGTGCAGCTATACATGGTTTGTGGAATTAAAAGAGAGAGAATGGAGAAAGGTAGTTTGGATCTGTTCACACTGTGTCATGAAACCAACCTGCAAAATTTAGAAAAGCCACAGAAAAACGCCTTCAACTTTGCTGAATCAAAGATTATTCTCCAGTTTATCTGTTTTAGCCCACATTTAGAAACGTGCTGTTTAGTGAATAAATCCCAATGTCTTTTTTTTACTCTTTTTTTAAAAACCTTTGAGACTTAGTAATAAATAAAAAGAAAATATGTTTTACCACAAAATATGTTCACAATGTCACCTAGCACGTTCTATATTTTCGTAAAGTATGCAATTCATCAGATGGCTTTAGCCTGACACAGAGTATCGTTTTACGTTAATAAAGTGAAGAATGTTAGACTCATGGAATAAAATAGAAATTATATAACGCAAAGTATGTGAATAACCATTCATCTATCCCCTGGGTGACCGAATGGATGGTAGAAATAGAAATTATATAACGCAAAGTATGTGAATAACCATTCATCTATCCCCTGGGTGACCGAATGGATGGTAGAAATAGAAATTATATAACGCAAAGTATGTGAATAACCATTCATCTATCCCCTGGGTGACCGAATGTATGGTAGAAATAGAAATTATATAACGCAAAGTATGTGAATAACCATTCATCTATCCCCTGGGTGACCGAATGGATGGTAGAAATAGAAATTATATAACGCAAAGTATGTGAATAACCATTCATCTATCCCCTGGGTGACCGAATGGATGGTAGAAATAGAAATTATATAACGCAAAGTATGTGAATAACCATTCATCTATCCCCTGGGTGAATGGGTGGTAGAGACAGATAGAATGTCAGACAGACAGATTAATACATACATACATACATACATGCAATATATGTAACTGATCATATTTACTCCCATCTCTTATTACTCTTACCTGACATGAGATTTCCTGATCACTGGGGTTTCATGCTGTTATTTTACTGGATAGAGACAAGGTATTCAGTGGAGACAGAGAGCAGACACACAGATGGAGATAACCTCCAGTTATGGTACTGAATGTCCCCTCCTGTTTCATTGAATCCCTATCTGCCTCCTCATCCTTTGCTTGGGACCCCTCCCTGCTCATGAGAGTGAGAACTGGCTTGGGGAAGATGCAGAGGAGGAAGAACAGGGAGGTGGGATAGAGGAGGGGGAGTCATTTTAGCAGGCTCATCTTTCCAGCAACTCTGCACTTTTACCCCTGGCTGCCCCTCTACCAAACCTCTCTCACAATCATAAGTATGCTGCCAAGCCAAACCTGGGATTTTTGTTGATTATAGTGTATAACTACACAACGACACTGGCTGCAGAAATTACTGTACAAATTAGCAGGTTATGGTGTGTAGTATTTATAACCCTGGAACAAGTCCACAGCTTAAATACAAATGGACCAAATTGCTACATTTAGAAGAACCAGCAGCCACATTCCATTGGATTCTTCCTATTTGCTCTATGTTTAGCACTTTGACACAGATTTAAAGTGTCACTACGCACCATCACTAGTTTTCATTACTGCAAAGTTAGATGTGTATTGGAGCTTCATCAGCCTTTCATCATCTCTGAGAGGATCTTAAAACAGCGAGCCACTCGAGCTGTCATTATAGCCGCTGGCCAGCCTGATATATTCATTTTTATTCTCCTGTGTGCGCAGTATGGGCGCTCTTTGTTACAGACCAGCTCTATGTGATTCCCATCGTGTCTTTATACCTCACCTCCTCCAGACTGTAAGCTCGTTTGAGCAGGGTCATCGTCAGCCTATTGTTCCTGTAGCATTTTGTAATTGTCTCATTTATTCTTACATATCCCCCTCTTATAATATTGTAATGCGCTGCGGAATAAGTTGGCGCTATATAAATGCCAGTAATAATAACTGCTTTTTGGAAAAAATACAACTTATCCCATAAACAATTGCTGGAGAGGCACTAGATTTTCCATAAGGTGTGTACTCACTGACTTCTGTTAGCCCAGTGATCCACATCTGGGAAAATGACACCTGTGGCTGAGTAAGGGTTAGTTAGGAACATACATACAGCCTCTGTGCTCTCTGCTTGGACTTATATTATTTTTATTATTGTATATATTATTTTTAAAGCACCAACAAATTCCCCAGCGCTGCACAATAGGTATGAAAGGATGTGTAGAGTGACATGAAATACAATCTTATTTATTCAGTTTAAATAACACAATATGGCCAAACAACTATTGTCAGTGACATTGTGAGTCCAGCCTATTGTTCCTGTAGCATTTTGTAATTGTCTCATTTATTCTTACATATCCCCCTCTTATAATATTGTAATGCGCTGCGGAATAAGTTGGCGCTATATAAATGCCAGTAATAATAACTGCTTTTTGGAAAAAATACAACTTATCCCATAAACAATTGCTGGAGAGGCACTAGATTTTCCATAAGGTGTGTACTCACTGACTTCTGTTAGCCCAGTGATCCACATCTGGGAAAATGACACCTGTGGCTGAGTAAGGGTTAGTTAGGAACATACATACAGCCTCTGTGCTCTCTGCTTGGACTTATATTATTTTTATTATTGTATATATTATTTTTAAAGCACCAACAAATTCCCCAGCGCTGCACAATAGGTATGAAAGGATGTGTAGAGTGACATGAAATACAATCTTATTTATTCAGTTTAAATAACACAATATGGCCAAACAACTATTGTCAGTGACATTGTGAGTCCAGCGTTACAGAATATATAAGGTGCCAACAAGTCAGCCTTACAGAACCCATAATGTATTGAAGTTGTGTGAATGTGTGATGTATCATGTACAACCCATGTATAGTGTGTGTTAATTATTAAAGTATTTCTGGTGAGCTGCAGATAATCTTTGGTAGAGATAAAGAGAGGTGGCGCTTACATGGCACTATTGAACAGTTAAAGGAACACTATAGTCACCTAAATTACTTTAGCTAAATAAAGCAGTTTTAGTGTATAGATCATTCCCCTGCAATTTCACTGCTCACTTCACTGTCATTTAGGAGTTAAATCACTTTGTTTCTGTTTATGCAGCCCTAGCCACACCTCCCCTGGCTATGATTGACAGAGCCTGCATGAATAAAAAAAACTGGTTTCACTTTCAAACAGATGTAATTTACCTTAAATAATTGTATCTCAATCTCTAAATTGAACTTTAATCACATACAGGAGGCTCTTGCAGGGTCTAGCAAGCTATTAACATAGCAGGGGATAAGAAAATCTTAATTAAACAGAACTTGCAATAAAGAAAGCCTAAATAGGGCTCTCTTTACAGGAAGTGTTTATGGAAGGCTGTGCAAGTCACATGCAGGGAGGTGTGACTAGGGTTCATAAACAAAGGGATTTAACTCCTAAATGGCAGAGGATTGAGCAGTGAGGCTGCAGGGGCATGTTCTATACACCAAAACTGCTTTATTAAGCTAAAGTTGTTCAGGTGACTATAGTGTCCCTTTAAACTAGCAGAGCTTACCTGACCGTGTCACTGAACACCTTGATGATGTCACTACTCACTCAAGTAGAGCATTAATAGAGACTACCTGGTATCTTACTGCACAGCATGGAACAGGGGGTAAAGCAATGATGGAAAATCCCAAACTCTTTCACAGACCAATGATGTGGGCAACAACACTAATACGAAGCTGCAACCCAGCTGAGACAAATAATTACAAGAGGAGCATTAAAATAAACTTGTATCGTAGTGGCCCATTCTATAGTTATGGATATTTTATATAGAGAGATTATATTCCTCCGACCTCCTATTTGTGGATGTAAATCTGTTAATTCTGACTCGCTGGCAGCATTGGCTGAGTAATATTTGTTTAGGGCCATAATTTATTAAGTCTCTAGTTGAAATTTAAATAAATGCTGTGCGTATTTTGGAAAGAGCACAACAGCATTTAATCCACATTGCACGTTTTATAGAATACCAAATGAAATATTATTTTACTGAGTAAGCCAACGCTTACTCAGCGCGCAACTGCTAGTCTCATGTATATTGCGTGATATTGGGCTTATTAACTGATGCCATTATCTTGGGGCTGTTTTTGTTTAGTCTGAGATATAATTTTACATTCCACTGCAAAGACATTATATTACTTGCTTTAAATATGCAACATGAAGCAGACAGTCGCATGGCCTCTGAGCTCTGGAGTATCGGAGGAGAAAAACCACATAAATTTGCCAATCCACACGCAAAAGAAACACTGGGAGACCACAACACCTACCCTATGGGCTGGAAAACAAAAAAACTAGAACCTGGCAGACCCTGGCAGGGTATGAGCATTGGTGATTTGTGGCGGCAGGCCCATGATGCCTACGAGCCCAAGATGGTGGCCCTCCATGGCGGCTGCTCTGACTTCTCAGATGGGATGTCGGATGAAGCAGAGGGAGACCTCACACCCACACCGGTGTTGCCAGCAACAGTCCGTCCGGCACCACAACCCGGGGAACAGACGCCGCACCAGCGACACTGGCGGCTATCAAGGAGCCCATGGCCGACCTCTACAAGAAAATATCGGCGGACGTTACCATGATAAGAGAGGACCTGCCGGCCCTGACCGGCCGCCTTGTTGTAGTGGAAGGTACCTCGCAAGAGCACACTCAAAATATCACGGAGCTGCAACAGGTGGAGAAAGAGCAGCAGCAACGGAATCTAACCTATGGACACAGATTCGACGCCCAGAAGGATAGGAGAAGGCAGAAGAACATGAAAATCAGGAAGATCTCGGAGAATGTACCGATGGTTGAACTCCCACACTTCGCCCGATGCCTCCTGTCGGCCTTGTTAACCCCCGAAACATGCAAAGGCAGTGTCTCTAGAGGAAATATTCAGAAACCTGCCAAAGTACCACTCGCAGCCAGTTTCAAAGCCATAAGGATAAATCAGCGTTACTAGCCGTCATTAGAGGGCAGTCGTCATACAGCTCCTAGCGGGATGTCACTAGCCTTCTATGCGGATCTCTCCGGAGGGACAGAACGCACCAAAAGTTACCCGACTGTCACCCACACAATGTTGTTGTTCCCCCCCCCATGCTAAGTTAACCTTTATGGCCAGCACAACGCGTATAACCCCAACCATCGTAACTTGAGAGATGGCCCACAACAACATAGCCTTCACTTAACCTCACAGATTTTTATGTCCCCATATTCATAGATGACTTAACAATTCAGTAGTGATGTCGCGAACATGAAATTTTTGGTTCGCGAACCGCGAACGCGAACTTCCGCAAATGTTCGTGAACCCGGCGAACCCGGTGAACCCGGTGAACCAAAACATATATAATTTCCTTAAAATTACATCAGAGGCTCAATGCCAAATATCAATGGATGTCATAGCTTACAATGTACAAATACGGGTACACAGGGCTGCCATCAGATATTTTGGGGCCCGTGACACAGCTCAATTTCTGGGCCCCTGGGACCCGCCCATGAGACTGTCGACAGGGCTTGCCCCCGAGTCTACCCACAAGGATGAAGTGTGTGTGTAGTGAATGTGGTGTGTATAGTGGATGTATAATATGTAAAGTGGATGAGATATGTGTCATGGATGCAGTGTGTATAGTGGATGCAGATTGCACGTTTATGTAATGTATGTAATGTTTGTGTGTATTAGATACAGAGTGTGTGTTTGTGTAGTGGATGGCGTGTGTGTGTATAGTGAATGCAGAGTGTGTGTAGTGGATGTAGTGTTTGTATAGTGAATGCAGTGTGTCTGTGTGTGTGGATGTAGTGTGTGTATATAGTGAATGCAGAGTGTCTGTGTGTGTGTGGATGTAGTGTGCGTATAGTGACTGCAGAGTGTGCATTTGTGTAGTGTATGTAGTGAACAAATAGTGCGTGTTTGTGTAAGGATGTAGTGTATGTAGTTAACAGACTGCGTGTTTGTGTAAGGATGTAGTGTATGTAGTGACCGAAGAGTGAGTGTTTGTGTAGTTGTTGTACTTTCTGTATATTGACTGCACAGTGTGTGTTTGTGTAGTGGTTGTAGTGCATATAGTGACTGGAGAGTGTGTGTTTGTGTAAGGATATAGTGTGTGTAATAAATGCAGAGTGTGTGTTTGTAAAGGAATGTAGTGTGTGTTTGTGTAAGGATGTAGTGTGTGTAGTGACTGCAGAGTGTGTGTTTGTGTAAGGATGTAGTGTGTGTAGTGACTGCAGAGTGTGCATTTGTGTAGTGTATGTAGTGAACAAATAGTGCGTGTTTGTGTAAGGATGTAGTGTATGTAGTGAACAGACTGCGTGTTTGTGTAAGGATGTAGTATATGTAGTGACTGAAGAGTGAGTGTTTGTGTAGTTGTTGTACTTTCTGTATATTGACTGCACAGTGTGTGTTTGTGTAGTGGTTGTAGTGCATATAGTGACTGGAGAGTGTGTGTTTGTGTAAGGATATAGTGTGTGTAATAAATGCAGAGTGTGTGTTTGTAAAGGAATGTAGTGTGTGTTTGTGTAAGGATGAAGTGTGTGTAGTGACTGCAGAGTGTGTGTTTGTGTAAAGATGTAATGTGTGTAAATGTTAGTGTATAGTGTGTAAATGTTAGTGTATAGTGTGTGTAAATGTTGTAGTATAGTGTATAGTGTGTGTAAATGTTAGTGTATAGTATATGTTTTAGTATAGTGTGTGTAAATGTTGTAGTTTAGTGTGTGTAAATGTTAGTGTACAGTGTGTGTAAATGTATAGGGCTGCATAATTATTATAATTATTAATTATCATTATTCATTTTTTTTATTCCATTAATTTATTCCATTTTATTTATTTTTTCCCTCTCTGGGTCTTACCTGTGGCCAGTGAGATCCCATTGCTAATAATGGTGATTTCTGATAGTGTTGCATATATGTATTCAAGTACTGACGCTACACAGTAATCTATGTATACGTATAGTTATGTCATGCTGACCTGAAAAGTAATAAAAATTGTCAAATTAAAAAAAAATTATATACATATTTTGTAACATACTTTCCAATGCCAACTGCTTCCATGGTTATGACCTGCAGCAGCATTGCATTACCAGATCAGCTTTTAATATAAAATTGTGCAAAGTGTCTATGTCTGGCAGACTGGAGCCTGAGGGTGCTGGATGGGAACCAGACATCACAGGTGTTTGTCTGTTTGTTTTGTTTGCTTAATTACAAAAAAATAATCACTTGTACTTAATGAGTTTTGACAGGCCTGTTGTTCAGTTAATAATGCATGTTTGTGAGCAGAATCTATATTAAAAACATCTAAGGTATACCATTTTTTTTTCCTCTGACATCTAAAATTGCCCCTTCCCAAAACTGACCAATTTTCCATTCTACTATAATGTTTGTGTAGTACTTGGATGAAGCAGAGCTGACCACAGTAACATAAGTAATGCTATTTGCCAAAACATTAAGAAATCCTAAACTATGTGAGATCTGACTTTCATTGTAGCGGATTTTAAAAAATGTTCTTTGCATTTGTAGTTTGGTTTTAAAATTCCTTTCTTTTTTCCACTTTCCAATATTTTTCATTGGGCACGTAAAGTACTTATTTTAGTGAGATTCTGTGAATCCAAACTTACACTTTTAGAGTCAAGATTTCTCTTTCCCTCGTCAGGTCAGATAAAGGCTATCAGAAAAGAAAAATTATTCTACGGGAAAAATACAATTCTGCTGTGTATATCCTGTGTGTAAACAAGCCATATCAGACCACAGGGAAATGAATGACCTGAATTAAACAGCAAGGTTAAGAACAAGTAACTGTGCTGTGATCCTAACATGTCAGAAGCTTGCTAACAAAAGACGCTTTTTACATAGTTACAAGTGCTTGAAATGTCACATTTGCTAACAAAAGACGCATTTTGCGGAAAATATTTAAAGGGACACTATAGTCACCAGAACAACCACAACTTAATGTAGTTACAAATACATTAAAATAAGTCCTGTGCTCAGACTCCCACTACTCCTGGGCAGCAGCAATGCCCATAGTGCCCATCAGCCCCAATACATACAATAAAAAACAAAGAAAAGAGCACACTACACCAAATCTCCATGCATATTAAAATAAATGGAGGTTATTAAGGTGTAGGCCCACCTGCCACGTCTTGGCCAACCGCTTGGGGATTTGGGGTAGTGCACAGGTAACTCTTTTCTTCAGTTCAAAGTAGTTGTTTTGGTGTGTATAGTCAGTCCCTGCAGGCTTTTCTAATGTTAACACTGCCTTTTCAGATAAAATGCAGTGTTTACATTACTTCCTATGGACAGCTCTAATGGAAGTCACTCAGACGACCACTAGAGGGGCTTTCTGGGTAAGTGCTGCACAATGAACTTTCCCCATA